TGGGCTTAACACATTGTACCCATTTGGGGATTCGAATCCGGATCTTCAGCGTGACGAGCGGACGCTTTAACCACTAAGCTACCCCACCGCCCCTATCATATTGATTTAGTGTACATACGAAGCGTATTCTAGTCGTATTGAATATTGGTGTAGATTACCTTGATTATGTGAACATTTTACAGTGAAAAAGTGAACACACATACCCTATTTAGCTCAAGGAAGAACCTGCTTGCATATATATCTTGTATCCATTGGCGGATCCAGATGGGATGGGGTCCCCATTTCTTTTTTTTTGTCCTCAAAGTATATTAAATGACCTTTGAAACTCGTGAAAACGGGTGAGAGTGAACCGTGCTCCCCCCCCAAAAAAAAAAAAATCAGAGAAAGCTGTATCCGCCCCTGTGTATCTACAACTAATTAAAAGTATCTTAGACATTTATCTTACGTCCTGAAGTATCCCATATTTGTAACGAACATGTTTACAACAAACTGACGGCTATAACGAACTGTCACCGCTTACTGCCTACTTTAGTCGAACAACGTTGGACGTACAATCGTCCTTTTTGAGTTGGCAATAAACGTAGATGTAATTACTACATGGCCTGTATTGTTGCAATGTATGTGCACACATATGCATGTACTGCATATAAATAAACTGTTGCTGAGGTAGCTTACCTTTGTACATGAATGATGTCATTCTTGTGTTCTTTTTCTTCTAATATAATATTCTCTATTGTATGTTTCAGAATATGCAAGTCAGCTAAAATATCGGTATTTTGCGGACATACCTATACACGTCCTCTACAAGCTGTTCAAGTAGAACCCATGGAAAATGAAGAAACTCGAATGTAGATACCACTGGATAACAAGGAACTTCATTATTCTACGCCGTGAAAATCTGTACAATCGACTCTTGCAGCTAAAGGTTGTGGAGTAGATACACGGTGCATCTTTACAACATACTCTTTTAAACGTTGTACAAAAACGTAGTGTGAGTAAACCAAGCCTGAATTATAGCATGATGTGTTATGCTTTGTCATTTAATGGGCATGGAACTGGCTCCTCTTTCAAAGGGGAAAAGGGGTGGTCCAGTCGTTTAAAGTGCAGAGTTGCATGTGTTCGAATCCGGGGTGCCGTTGTACAAAGCGATCTTAGGGCTAAGGAAACACCCATACCTTAACATTAGGGGTGGGTATTGCAGAGAATTTTCATATTGCGATACATTGCGATGCGAAAGCATACACTAGACGCCAAAAGAAACTTTAGTTTCCTACCTTTATAACTTACCGAAAAACTATCAAAGATATGTTAGAAGGTTTTAGTTTACAAGAAAGCTTAACAACACAGCTTTATGGAAATCACGAAACAAAATTCTCAAATGCATTCATATTTAGGTGAAATGCATCTTTTTCAGAAGAGTTACATTGTCCTATATTCGTCCATGCCGAAAAAACCCCAATAACAGTAATTTTGATGTCCAAAAGAAAGGTTGAAATAAATTTCTGTTTTTGGACAATGATAAACCATTGAAAGTCACCATTTGTCAACTATTATAACAAAAAACAACTGTTGTAGAGTGTGTAAAATTGTAAAATAACCATTCCTATGATTTCAGTCTTTTATAACATTTTCTAAAGATTTTCATTAGTGAAAACAAGTAAAACGTGTCTTTGATATTGTGAAACAATGTTTAGGAACACCTAAAATTATCTTTGTTAACATTCTTGCTTGCAAAGTAACATTTTCCCATTTTCTGTTTACACATAGCAATATCAATCGCCAAAACGCAGCAATATTCAAGCAATATTTGCATCCATTTCACATGTAGAATGATTCTATAGGGTATGAAGAGAGCCTAGAATACATGAGTACGAGAAATATCTCACGATTAACAGCTGAAAAGAGAGAAAGAGCAATTGGGATGGTGCAGATGGGGTCGACATACAATGCCAACGCCCTCGGATGCCACCATATCACGGTTATAAGACTTATTCAGGGCTTCAGACAGACTAGGGTCACCGTAGACAGACCAAGAAGTGGACGTCCACGCATCAGAACGCCAGCTGAAGATAGGTACCTCCGTCATTAAGGAAGGAGGGTAACGTTTCTTTTGGCGTCTAGTGTATATTGCGATATGCATTGCAACATATTGCAAGAAGTATTATTAAACGAAAAACTACGTATAATCGAGTTAATGCTTGATTTATAAAGCATGAACACAACAAAATCACTTATTTTAATAAAAATGTTTATTTAATCATGACAAAATAAAAATGTACAAAATATTTGGCACAAATGAAACAAGGAAATATCCGAAGATTTCCGAGTGTTACGAAGTTTTCCGAATGAAAGTCAAAATACCGGTTTTCGATCAGCGTATCGCAATACGTATCATTTTCATGTCTGAACTGGTAAATACTGGTAAACCGGTTATATTGCACAGCCCTACTTAACATAGACTTACGACTGCCGTAACGCTAAAGTTGATTTGTACAGTGACACCCTGGTTCACCATACTTGTCATCGTAAGTTTGATCAGAGTTTCCGGAATCTTAGATCTCCATCACCTCGGATGGCACAATACGCCGACACGTCGTGATATCACTGATATGACGTTTATGCCTAAATTATTCACTCATTCATCCTTCAGATCTGGACAATATAAACAGTAACTACAAATCTCCCTGAAAACGAGAATGCTATATGTTTGCCAACAACCGACGACCGACCCAATCTGGATTGCTGAACTTTGATGCATACTGCCTGATGCATGTACACCTGTCACAGGGGCGGTGGGGTAGCCTTGTGGTTAAAAGCGTTAGCGTCAGGCCGAAGACCCGGGTTCGATTCCCCAAAATGGGTACAATGTGTGGATCCCGTTTCTGGTGTCCCCCGCCGTGATATTGCTGGAATATTGTTAAAAGCGGCGTAAAACCAAACTCATTCACTCATATCTATTACACCCCGATGAGGAATACTCACTGATGATAATGATTGAATGAGCCTGAGGTTCAAGGTCATTCTTTGTGGACATCATGTAGAAATAACATAAAACCTATGTACACCATAAATTGAGTATCTGTAACTGGAATCTGACGTTACTTAGAGTTTGTCACAATCAGGGCTTTGGCCTTGATCGCACCGACGTTGTATGAAACACCTGTAAAGTCAAGGTCACAACCATGATGAAAGTTATTTTATTCCTTAGAATATAAAACACCAATATATGTCATTGTATCAATCTTTCAGAAAAAATACCTCTTGAAATAGAAAATTTTATGTCGGTTTGCCTGTTGAGCCGATTGTCAAAGGTCACAGAAATGTGCGTAATGTTTCACAGAAACAGTTTTGTAACACCATTGCAGCGCGCAATTATGGATATTCTCGAAGGTGATCATTTATTTAGTGTCAGTGACAGCTAACAGGTAGAAAAATCAGTTTCCTAATTGAGGGGCGTATGGGCCTTTATGTTTCACTTTCTACTGCATAATAGCACACAACTGATCGAACTTAACCGGATGCTCACATCACTTTGATTTAAAGCCGTGAAGGGGCATATGATTGTTTACACAATACACATACTAGGTGTGACATCATTCAGCCGAAGGTGCATTATCCTTTCTAATGAACTGAAGAAGGGGAGTTGTCTTAAAGGCAGAACTGAATTAGACAAATCTTGAATATGGCTTTACCAAAACAGTTTTGTGAGACTGCCAGGAAACATGCTTATATTTTTATACAAGCGTAGAGGCATGGACCATTCTGTTTTCAAATAGCAGTGCATTCAAAACACACTCGTTATAAAAATGAATGAAGAGACAGCCACTCACAAATCCCACCACAAATCATGGAATTACTAAGGATTCCATTCGGGGACAAAGGCCTGAGCACAACGCTCCCCAAGACCCCAAGACAGTAGCAGACACGTTGACATCTGTTACTACATTTTTTTGTACGGGAAATGTTAAATATGTAAAAACAACATTCCTTTACCACACCACCTTTGACGGTTCTTCTTCTGATGCGTCAGGATAGGTCGTATGGCGGAACGACGTGGTCGACTACGGATACGCCGATGTTCCCGAATGGTCTGGACAATGGTCACTGCAGTCTGGAACCTTTGTCAAATGTGGTTAAGCCAAATCTGTATGTCCTGTCTTGGCGTTGTGACGCGTGGACGTCCTGCGATCGGTAATTTCATTATTGTTCTGATCACATCTCAACAGTGCTTGAATGGTGATTGGGCGATGGAAATACGCAACCACCTAACGTTGAGACATCTCCACGGACCATCCCAATAGTCGCGTAACGTTGTGTAGCCGTTGTAAGTCGTCGCAGTCAAAGCGATTGTCAAAATATTTCGTTCTTTGAAAATAGTCACAAAACACCAGGTGTGTACTTTCTTTTATACAGCAGTTTATTTTTTATTTCCTTTAATGGCTAGGATATAATATTTACCCCAGTATGTCTGGATCAGCCTGAAAATAGTAGATCCTACTTTCTGGATACGAAGGTAAATGATCCCTTTTTCCTTTTGGACAATTATGTTAATTTCAGAAAAAGTGCGACAAATTCATTTCGATAATTATAATAAATATCGAGTAAAAGCTCGGTCCTTTGCCTTATTTCGACGTTAGAGATAGGAAATCTGGAACTCATTTCACGAATGTTAAACCCATCTTATCAATCTTCGTTTAAGAATCTTCTTCTTTTCAAGACTAACATTTACATGTATAGTACAACATGGTGTCTTCAAAGACACCGGGCCAATCCATTTGAGATTGTATTCAATGCAATGTAATTTTCAACATCGGACACATGGAGACAGTTCGTATTCTTCCATTGTTTTGTCACTTAACAACAGGGGAAAAAATTATTTCCTTGTACGCGTCATATAAAAGATGACCCCACCATCACACCGAAGAAAAAGTTTCTATTTCCATTTATTGTTTTACATACTGTCATGTCATAAAAAATTATCTACAGGAAACAACAGTGGTGTTTCATTTTGCCAGTATCTGGTGGACGCTTGATCAATTTGTGGAAGTGTACTTTGGCGCAACACAATGTTTTGGTAAGTCACCGAATTTTAACCTCGATCTTGCTATTATGTTTTACAGATTTGTTTTTGTTTGCTATTATATAAATAGATATACTCTCCCAAAAAAGAAACGCATCATGAAAATAGCAATTTCATGTAGCAATGAATTAAAACGTGATTCATTTTACAAAAGGTTTTGCTCTGTTTATGAGTCCTATGGTGTTTATGTTTTGAAACATCACAACAAAACGCACCATCCGTAAAATACCCGTATTTAACAGCATGATTTTCAATTTCGGCGTGTAGTGTCACAGAATACACAATTCACATGCAATGCACGTGAAAGTTGAAGATCAGATAGTCTCAATGATGGGTATAAAAGGTTGATCGCTGTCTGTCGATTATTCACTGTATTTGGAATATTGTTGACGAACGCAAAATGCCACGTCTAAGTGAAGCCAACCGTCATATCGCCATTGGTTTGCTTGAAGCTGGCCAGTCTCAACGTGCAGTTGCCCGACGCATGAATGTTCACCAAGGCACCATTTCACGGCTCTGGGAGAGATATCGCCGGCAGAATGCGGTAGCAGATGCCCCTCGTAGTGGGCGACCTCGAGCGACCACTGCGGCGCAGGATCGCTACATCCGGGTACATCACCTGCGTCATCGAACAGCTGAGGCGACCAGTACCGCTCGACAAATACCCGGATTGAGGAGGCTTTCTGCACAGAAAGTCAGGAACAGGTTGAGAGAGGCTGGTTTACGTGCCAGAAGACCTTATTTTGGCCCTGTGCTTCAACGACACCATCGTCGACATCGAGTTCAATGGTGCACCAACGTTCAGGCCTGGAACCTACCGAATTGGCGTAGAATCTGGTTCAGTGATGAATCACGATTTCTATTGGAACGACGCGATGGAAGAATGCGGGTGTACAGACGTCGACGTGAACGTTTCGCCGACGCTTGCGTTCCCCAGGTGGACAGATTCGGCCGGGACAGTGTTATGATGTGGGGAGCGATCACCTGCTGTAGGAGAAGTGATTTGGTGATGATCCAGGGCAACCTGACAGCTCAACGGTACTGTGACGAAATCCTACGCCCACACCTCCTTCCAATCATTGATCGCCAGAGGGAGTTGTTTCAACAGGACAATACCAGGCCCCACACAGCACGTCACACTAGAGACTTCCTCCAGAACCACAAGATCAATGTGCTCCCCTGGCCCTCAAGATCACCGGACTTAAACCCGATCGCACATCTGTGGGATGCCCTGGACAGACGGGTGCGACGCCGTAACCCTCAGCCCCAAACACTTCAGCAACTCGCACAGGCACTACAGGCAGAGTGGGCTGCGATTGGGCAACACGAGATTCTGAGACTTATTCGTTCAATGTCGAGGCTATGCCGTACAGTTCTGAATGCCAACGGTGGTCACACGAGGTATTGACTTCAGCGCCACCACACGTCTCCATGTGACACTCAAACTGACTTTCCTCGAGTTGGTGCCAAAGACGGATAAGTCTGCATTCCCAGTGTGCAATTTCGCTATATTTCATTGACTCATAAAGCCTACAAGATGTTTCAAAATAAACATAAAAATACAGTTGAAATTCCTATATGCGTTTCTTTTTTGGGAGAGTATATTATTATTAATATACAATATACATTTTGGCATAATTCGCGTTGTGGTGGATACAAAAACAGTGGAGTGAGTGAGTAGGTTTACGCCGCGCACAGCAAAATTCCAGCTATATGGTGCTGACGGTCTGTAAATAAACGAGTCTGGACCAGACAATCCAGTGATTAATAGCATGAGTATCTGTATACGCAATTGGGATACGATGGCATGTGTCAACCAAGTAAGCGAGTCTGACCACTTGATCCCGTTAGTCGCCTCTTAAGACAAGCATGGGTTACTGGAGATTAATTCTAACCCGGATCGTCACGGGTCGTTAATAGACGGTCGCTAGAAACCTGGTCCACCTGTTTATAGGGGCTACTATCAAAAATTTAATGTCGGTTATTGGTGAGTCACATTCGCTCGTTTTAACTGTAATAAACATTTGGTTTCGTTGACTTGTGCAAGCGAATGCGTGTACGTGTGTCTATCCTCGTGTCCGTGTGTCTGTGCGTGCATGCGCTTGTGAGTGTATGTGCGCACGCTTGTTCTAGCCGGCACTAATGCCTGGTTCACAGTGCTAGCCCTCGAGGCTATGCTGTAGGTTCGAATGGATACCATATACAGAGACTGTACAATGCTTCGTAGACGATCAGTACTTCTTCATCCCCTTGATCCGAGAGTCAGGCAGTGTGATATCAAGTACAAATTTCATAACAATAACACTGTGTATGAGTCAAAGATTCTTTGCATATCAACTTCTTTTTTTTTATTTCAAAAGAATCTTTGAGTTATGTTCATCACTTCTAAATGCCCTCCAAAGACAACACTGTGTTAACTGACTGGCCTGTAATTCGTAATTCATATATTTCTGTATGATATTTATGTTTTTACACATATTACAGCATTTAATGTTTCTACAACATCATCTGTTTTCATTAATTTATTCCAATGGGTTTGTAAACGAAGTGTAAATGTGTAAGTAATGTCAAAGCCTCTCAAAGAAACAATATTTTTCCCAATGCAGATTTCGTTAATACAGTGCTATTAGGTTCATGTAACAACTGACCCGTGAAGATCCGGGGTAGAATAGGTCTTCATCAACCCATGCTTGCCACAAAAGGCGACTATGCTTGTCGTAAGAGGCGACTAACGGGATCGGGTGGTCAGGCTCGCTGATTTGGTTGACACATGTCATCGGTTCCCAATTGCGCAGATCGATGCTCATGCTGTTGATCACTGGATTGTCTGATCCAGACTCGATTATTTACAGACCGCCGCCATATAGCTGGAATATTGCGGCGTAAAACTAAACTCACTCACTCATGTAATAACTGAAACACTACTAAATTAAACCAGTAACAAAGGACTCATACACAGTTTTACACGAAAAAAGTACCAAGAGGGGAACATCTTCATTTAAACGTAATTACAATTCGACACATGTCTTAAATAGATGGTCCCGAGTGATAATGGTGAAATATCATTCAGTTAAATCATCTTTCTTTCTATTTCAGGAACACTTTGTGGATATTCTGTATGTTTCTTGTTGCTGCGTACCAAGGTATTTCCAGGAAATTCCTTTTTGAATAAAACTTTGTTTTTACAATGGACTTGTGTATTTGTGTAAAGTTGTTCTCGTCACGCCATAGTTGAGGAGTTTTACTCACCTTGCTATTTGAAGTAAAACGTTTAAAAAAAACCCATTGTTTCATAATTTCATTCTGTTAATAACCACTAACAATGATGATATGATTCAGAACAGCTCAGTATATTTATCATGCATTTATGCTTAGAACATCTTGTTAAAATGACTCGAATTGCCTGCGCACTGTTATGTACTCATATTTTCCTTACGTAATGTGTAATGGGCCGGTGGCCTAAAGCAATAATAAATGATGATGGTATTCCTGAAATATTCCCGAAACGTCCTTGAATCATAACCAAGGTATCTGTATCAATAAACGTGTTCGTGCCTTCAATGATCTTCCAAAATACCAATGGAAGCGTAGTACACGTCGTAATATAATGATGTACTCCATGGGACATGAAGCATAAACCATAAAAATGTTTCTATTATCGGATAATCCTCTAACAATCGAGATCACTTAATCAAATTGTTACGACGCTGATGTAAAACCCAGTGTAATAAAAATTATATAGATTGTACATTAAGAGCATATATCGTTTTATTCCCATTTAACCCACGTTAATATAAGTGACATTCTTCACATAATTTGAAAGGGGAGGTTTGACACTGACTCAGTGTAAAAATGCCATTGCTTTCATCTGCTTTTAAACCAACAGGACACTGCCCATTCACTATCACCAATGTCCACAGATATATTTGTCTGATTTGCGCTCCTACAGGCCTCATGAGAGACTGCACAGCAACAAACATAACTACGAAGACAGTTCCAGCGGCTGTCAGTCCACCAATCAACGCTGGAAAAAGCTGTCCGGTCAACTGTTTGAGAGGAACCTGTACATTTCTTGATGATGGAAATATTGACTGCACAGATGGGTGTAACGATGGGTACATGGGGAAAATGTGTGACTTCCCGTGCATGAACAAATGCTCAAAATGTGATCGAAAGAATGCACGCGTCTGTATCAAGTGTGATCACGGATACTTTGGTATACAATGTCACAAATGTCCAAAAGCATATGGAGGACAAGGATGTCTTAGTGATGGCAGCTGCAAGAAGGACTGTTCAGCCAACCATGTCTGTGGGGATAAATGTTTGCCCGGATGTGAGATATGTAATGAGAAATTAGGTAAATGTCTGAAATGTGCCTACAATCTAAGAGGAGAGAACTGCAAGACATCCTGTTCCGACAATTGCCACTCTGTTTGTCCAACACAGAACTGCACGTCTCCGTGTGATAGGGACACGGGTCGATGTTTACATGGATGTAAGCCTGGTTTCTGGGGAGAGCTATGTGCAGATCCATGTAGCCCAAGATGTCTAGACCAAAACTGTAATCAAACATCGGGACACTGTGTTAAATGCATAAAAGGCTACCATGGTCCTAAATGTCATTTGCCATGTGTGAACTGCAAGGACAGTGGCTGCCTTCAATCATCAGGCACATGTAAGAAATGTGATGCTGGTTACTATGGACATACCTGTACACAAACCTGTTTCAACTGTTCCCCTAACGTCTGTGATCGAAACAATGGACTTTGTATCAACGTATCCTTGACAACGATGGAAGCTGCCATGACTACAACAGTGTATGGTACGTACAGAAGTAATATATTTTCAGTTACGATCCTTTGAAGTTGATCGTATTATATGTGAAATTACAGTCATGTATATTTTTAAGACGTAGCCAGCTATGTAAGAACAAAATGGCTGAAATATACACACGAGCACTTATTAAGCACCACCTGCAGTTCAATTGGATAAATTTTGGTCCACACAGGCGATCATACCGTAGCATACTGAAAAACACACTGAACGGACGTGCTTCACGCAATACATTGTATCCCAATTGTTATGGATCACCTGCTGTAAAGGCACCAAGCAGATTACGGTATAAGTTCCTACGTGTGCTAAAATTTTCTGAACTGATTCGAAACACGACAGTACTAAACATTAACTTTTCTTGACATGGGAAGACGTAGGCAACGATGGCAAGTTATTGTCATGTTCGATGTTTACATGGATGTAAGCCTGATTTCTGGGGAGAGCTATGTGCAGATCCATGTAGCTCCAGACGTCTAGACCAAAACTGTAATCAAACATCGGGACACTGTGTTAAATGCATAAAAGGCTACCATGGTCCTAAATGTCATTTGCCATGTGTGAACTGCAAGGACAGTGGCTGCCTTCAATCATCAGGCACATGTAAGAAATGTGATGCTGGGTACTACGGACATACCTGTAGACAAACCTGTTTCAACTGTCCCTCTAACGTCTGTGATCGAAACAATGGACTTTGTACGAACGTATCCATGACCACTATCACAGGTATATGTATTAATCTCTATCGAATGAAACGAGGTTTAAAGACTGTTATTTGGAATTCGATATTGTACACATTTAGAAACCAGGATCGTTACATACGGAATTGTATGCTGGAATGTTTGCCTATTTTAAAGTAACTTAATTAAGCACCCGTTGTATTTTTGCAATGATATGTTTCCATCACTTATATAAAATTTCTCGTGGTGACCACGATAAAAAAACAGTTTTTCTGACACATATGGTCCTTTGACTCATACAAAACGACAAAATGATTGGAATCCATGTTGATTTTATAATAATTGCCTATTTAAAAAGCAACAACGAAAAACACACTGATTTCCATGCAAAACGATGTCTGTACAAGTATGGCCTGGAAGGTTTAATGTTGAAATAATTGGTGAATGTAAACATTCAAAATGTCATTTTGCGTTTCTTTTACACGATTCAAGGTCAATACCGATTGTAACCTGGGTGGTTATGGCTGTATGACAACCATCACTCCTAATCCTCTGAAGGGCCATTTCTCGGAAGGGAAGAGTTCGCACGAATACATCATGCATCATGCATACATTCAGTCATAAAACGAATGACAAGCGTTCACTTGTTTTCTGAATACAGCAGCTATGGCTAGGTTAGCGAGACGTGTTGCTGCTGTGTTCAGAAAACAAGTGAACTCTTCCCTCTCCACAAACAAACACATTTCTGACCTCAATCTCAAACAATAATTTATTGGGCAAAACAGGCTATCCGACCACAATTCATGGTTTCCTCAAACTTGACTTTTAACAAAACAGGACTGGTTCAAATACTCAATTGATACTTACATGTCATCTCCGATATTACGACGTTTCTTTTGCCTTTCAGTATATTTGCACACTCATGTTACAGAATTGGGCAACACAAGTAATCCGACTGTACCTGGACACCAGTTACTCACTATATCTCCAGTTACATTGGCATTGGCTGTCTTTGATGCGGTCTCCTCCATACTGATCATCTTTCTTGTTTGTCGGTAGGTAAACTATAGGTGTCTTGGCATAATTCGCATTGTGGAGGACACAAAAAACAGTGGAGTGGGTGATTGAGTTTAGTTTTGTGCCGAGCTCAGCAATATTCCAGCTATATGGTAACGGTCTGTACCTAAATCTGAATGCATGTCCCTTACCAACACATTAGAAATGAAAAGTGTATGTGTAAAAAGAAGAAAACATATCGTTCCAGAAAGGTCGAAATTTGTGGCTTCAAGGAAGGACAGTAAAATCTGTATTAATACATGACATGCCAAGGCATGACATTGAGAGACACAAACGAAGAGCAGAATGAGTGTTAAGAGGTGGTCACATCTTACGGTCATGAGTGAGTGAGTGAGTTTAGTCTTATGCCGCACTCAGTAATATAGCAGCTATATCGCGAATTACGGTCATAAACGTTGTTGACCGTAACTCATTTGAAACGGTAGTTTAATCGTAGTGCCATGTTACCACGGTTTACTACGGTCAACACAACGGTGCAGGAAGGTCAATTACGGTCTCCTTGGGAGAACTAGGGTCAAACACGTTCATGCGGTAACAATAGGGTCTTACGATTCAAGCCATACAGCCGTAGAGACATTTTGAGCGTGTTGAAAATTATTTGGTCTAACCACGGCCAAATCGTGGGTTTGCTGAAGTTCAAAGTACGGTGATCTACTCTTCAACTGCGCTTAAATACGTCCATCTATGTTTAACTAAGGTTTACTACGTTCATCCCTCACTACGGTCAACTACGTGCGTGTCCGTAACATGTGAGCCCTGCTTCAACCATTTACCGTACTCTAGTTGAAAAATCCAAATGCTTGATATTCACAACATTACCAATTTACAAGAAATTCCAATTTGTTTGCCTCCAAGTATAGTCTCTTTATGATTTATTTATGTGTTGATTTCACTAAAGCCACTCAGTCTTTGAGATTAGTAGTGAATATGTTACAATTACATTCTGATAAATTTGATAAACTCAATGAATAAATTTCAATATTTCAGATTAGGAAGAGTTCAATCCAGTTTGATCACGAACAGAAGTGGTCACCAGCCAGCTGCCCGGAATGTAGTATACGGTAATAATGAATACGATGAGATTAACGAGGAAATGATGGACCCAACTTCGGGTAACACAAACAGCGATGAACCTTATTACAGTTCCCTCGTTCATCTTGAATGATAGAACACGGCTTTAGCTGAAGACCAAATGTCGAGGCAGTTTCCAGAACATGCATCGTGGATCATTCCACACTGGTTTTAGTTCCGGTGCTATTTGAATCCTTTGAGCACCATATATGTGCTATTACTGATGTCTGACTTGGAATATTAGCTGGTAGTAGCGCCCTCGTGGAGGAAAACTCGTCATGTCTTTTTTTGTGTAATATACTTCAAGCAAAAAGTATGGGAACACCCTAAAATCTGATAGTCATAAATAAACTTAAACGTGTTGAGGTCAATTACAACTTTTTGTGTGCTTAATGGGCACTTAAACCGACATGTTGGAATATGCAGTGAAGCAACTGATTCAATATTCGTTGAGTTTGAGTGAAAGGAAACATTGTGAAAACAGCGAAAAACAAGGGTGCTCAAACACACCAACACCATGTTTGACTCAAACGCCCAAACACAACATCCTAGTGCATGTGGAAGACGGACTTCCCATGCAGCTTGTGGCAACTGGGCACAGGCAGTTGTGAATCAGTTCCGAAGGTCTTGGAGCACAACATATTTGCCCTTGATGGTTTCTGGGTCAAAAGATGGTGCTGGAGTGTCCATAGTACCCAGTATCACATTTGCTACATGTGCCTGATCATTGAAGGCAGCCATTGTCCTTATGGTTCACACATGGCAAATGGCGTTTCAGACCATGGTATTGACGGAAATTGAACATGCAGCTGAACTTGATATCAATACCTTTTACAAAGCTGTCAGAAAACAAAGATCCACAACTGATGTTATAACCACGCTTAACTATGATTATGAAAATGAGTCAAGACCTGCTGGTATATGTAGATTGTGGGGCAAATATTCCTCGGACTTAGCTCAGCCACACACCTCACATATGTTTGATGATGAATTTAAAGATGAAATATGTCACAGGGTTGAAGGTATTGAAGCATTAGATGACTATTTAATCGATGAAGGACTGGAAAGGGATTTTACAGATAACGAGGTACTGCAAAAAAAATCTCCAGGCCCAGATAACATTACAATTGAGCACAATTGAGCAGTGTCTCAATTCACACCTTTGTGACCTGGTTCACAAAATGATCAAATTTCGCTGTGTGCCTTTTAATTATAAACTTGGTATGGTGATACCAATCTGAGGAGGTAAAAAGGAAACATCCGATCCCCGAAACTATAGGGGAATTACTCTGACGTCATGCCTTGGAAAACTTTTTGAGAAGCTATTACTTAAACAAATAGAAACTAAATTGCTTGAAAATAATGCTTATTTCCCTGACATACTCCAATTTGGATTTAGAAAGGAACATGGGGCAGGTATGGGCGTTTTTTGCTCTTATTGAATGTATCAGATATTACATTGAGAAAAATCTCTTCAGTATGTGCTGCCTTTTTAGGTAACTAAAAAGCATTTGACAGAATATGGCACGATGGTCTATTTTACAAGTTACATCAACTGGACATCCAGGGAAACATCTGGAAACTACTGCACTACAGTTATACAAATACAGTATGACGATCATGACATTTAGTAAACATTGATATTTTCACACAAATACATTAATCCGACATTTTCATTAATCCGACATTTCAGTTAATCCGACATATTTCTCTGCAACCACAAGTGTCGGATTAACGAGAGCTGACTGTAGTTATGCTTTTGTAAGATATAAGGGTGAAAACTCTGACAGGTATCCTGTTTAGCAAGGTGTTGGCCAAGGCAGTGTCATGTCGTCCTGGTTCTTCTTAGTGTTTATCAATGACTTGATTTCTTCTCTGAGACAGGCTAGTAATGGCCTAAGTGTGTATGGTCTGAATGTTCCGACTATATTGCTTGCTGACGACACAACACTTGTTAGTACTTCACCAAAGGGATTTCAAATTGCTCTCGATACTGTACGTACATATGTAACAAGTACAAAACAAGTGTGTAACAAATACAAGTGTGTAACAAGTACAAAATATACAAATTGTAAAATGTTCTGGGAAAGCAATCTATTTTAATATGTCTTGTTTTATGTTCCTGTTTGGAATCAATTCATAACACCTTAAACAATAATACAATTGTCAGTGAAAAGGTTTACATTTTCACAAGTCCGTGATTTATTTATAGTCACCACTGGGTCATGGGTTGAAAGTAGTTCCTATGCAAATTAGCCAAGTCTTAATGAGGTCAGGTCTGTTGTCTTGTCCTTGGTTTTTATTGGCTGAGTGAGTGAGTTAAAATTTATCGTCACATCGGCAATATTTCAGCCATATCGTGTCGAAAACAATTAATTGGTACACATAGTAAGTAATAGTAAATTATAAAAGCCTGCCTACGAAGGACAGTAAAATAACTAGATTATCACAGAGAATAATTTAAAACTAGTAATTAAATCTAAAACAGTTTAACTATAGTTGACAATACAATATAAAACCGGGCTATAGATTGCCAACAACTTTTTATTGGCTGAAGATGTGCAGCATCTTGATCGGATGTTGAATTTAGTTGCATTTGGAAAATGTGAAGTTTGTTCACTTGCTGTCTTTTCCCCAACCTGGCAAAGTGGTTTGAAAGTCATTTATGGAGGATTTTGACTTTGGTGAATTACAGGTCCTTGGTGTTTTGTTGGTGCCTCACAACATGTGGCCAGTTTGAAACAAGTTGTCCCATAGATGACTTGTATCATGTATACAAACTACCGTAATAAATCCGGACTACAGCCTCAACGGAGTTGTGTTGTTGAGTCAGAGCCACCCCCGTTACAAATTTGGAGACCCCATTGAAGAATGTTGTGAGCTGTGAGCACCTTGTCAACCACCTTGGACCACCGCTTCAGAATCACCATGTGAACTACCACCAGAGACTGTGAGACTGACCATGACATAACCATGAACTTGTGATAATGTGATTGCCACCCGTACTCCCTTTAATTCAGTTGTATTTCTGAATACATTGTTTGGGAGAAAGACAGTAAGTTTCCAGGCTACCGACATGTTGTGCCTGTGAGCTATTTATTGCTCCTGACTGTTTCAGGCATGTAGTCTTGTACCGAATTTTATTCATGTATAAGTGATATGCTGTATGTGATTTCTTGAAATTGTGATTGCATTTTGAGGCTGTATGTATTGATGTGTTTTTACCTTTGATTTTGTTATATTTTAGTTGTTGTCAAGTGAAACATATAATCAGTTATTTGTGGAGATATTGAGTCTGTGCAAATACAACCTTAGAAACTACTTATATACTCATTTATACAGTGGTTCATCCCCCCCCCAAAAAAACAACAAAAAAAAACAAAAAAACAAACAAACAACAACAACAACAAAAAAACACCAGTGGAGACGATTTGTAAACAGACATGTTCTTGAATGTGAAGAACAAATGTGGCGTAACAAAGTATCACTTAATGCAGGACTGTCTCGTTACATGCGAGCTCATACATCACTGATATATCACATACTTTTGAACTTAGCATTTTTATACCCTGAACACAGAGCAGCCTTGCGATTGTGTTTGAAAATTTCATAAAATCTCAAAAGAATGTTTGCTTTGTAACAAGCACGCTTATGATTATGACAACCTTGTGATACTACACTGTGAAAAATTATTACCTCTCCGAAATAACCTTTTCTCATCTCTGATTGATCTACTTGATGTTGAAACCTATGTTAATTTTGAAATGTTAGAAGACGATGAAATGCTGTCAACTCTCCAAGATGCAGATACACAGTTCACACGATCCCTAGTGCGGGACACATACCAGGTTGTCATTATAAACTTTGCAACATATGTCTATCATTTGAAACCATATCTTGAGTTTGTATTTTAATGGAGACACTCTGTGTACAAGTGACGCCATCCCTTTGTGAATGTTTCATTATATCTCTGGACATAACAGTTATCAACTGCGATTGACATTGTCCTGTATGTAAATACTAATGTGTTTTATGTTTGATTGAATTCATGCATCAATAATCTTCGGATTGATTTCTGGATGAAATAAAGAATCTCTCTCAGCATATTTTCCCTTGATGTTTTTTCTGGGTCTTTTTCTGGAGCTACATTGATCTGCACATAGCTCTCCCCAGAAACCAGGCTTACATCCATGTAAACATCGACCCGTGTCCCTATCACACGGAGACAGTTCTCTGATGGACAGACAGAGCGACAGTTGTCGGAACAGGTGATCTTGCAGTTCTCTCCCATGAGATTATAGGCACATTTCTGACATTTACCTTATGTCTCATTGCATATCTCACATCCGGCCAAACATTTATCCCCACAGACATGGATGGCTAAATAGTCCTTCTTGCATCTGCCATCACTAAGACACCCTTGTCCTCCACATGCATTTCAGTGTAAGTAAACTTAGGCTCAGTATTATTCGTTACACTGCTATACTGAGTCTAACAAACCCTAGTAAAAGGTCGCGTCAGCTAACCCTTGTGTGGCCTTTGTCCGTCCAATCAAACGCGAGACGACCGAAAGAATTGAACCAATCACTGAACGGCTACTTGTTTGGGGTTCGGTGGGACGTTTTCAAAATTTTCTCTACCCTGATCACTGACACTGATCTCTCAACATAAAACACAGATATGTGACCTGCAGTACATATGCTTTGGGGTTTCTAATGACATGCTTACTATTCCTCACAAAAAGTTAAGCAACACAAATTTGTAGTCTCATTACATTTTTATTTTTCGAAATTGCAAATCATGGAATTTTTTTACAATAGAAAGATGAAACATGTGCACACACGATTAGCAAAATGAAATGACATGGTATTGAGCAATAATCGACTTACAAATCATCAAAAGCATGTACCCGCGAAACAGTCGTGCAAAATGTGCTGCATTGATTGAGCAAAATGTTAACATTAAGGTGCAAGTCAGTGTTGGACAGTGAAGCAGTGTTCAGTAACGTGTATGGGGGAGAACATGGAGACCGTAAACACGACTTCCAATATTGTCCCAAGCATGTTCAATGGGGTTAAGATCAAGTGACCTTGCTGGCCAGTCCATATGTGTGATTTTGCTGATCTAAACAACTTCGTTATCAACTCTTTCTCGGGCATTATCATCCATGGACGGGCATTATCATCTATAAAAATGAAGTTAGGACCCGCTTGTTGTAACAGAGGAATGATTACAGGTAAGTTTACACCGATCAGGGCGCATTTCGCATGTTGTTTCTGAGGGTGGTTGTGTTTGGGTGATGTTGTCAATTTTATCCGATAAATCAATTTTAAAAGTCACTATGTATTCTTTGAATATTTACCTTTCAGTAACAGTTCGGCAAAAATCGCTATTGAGATTGATAAAGATATTACACTTAAACTACTTGTTGCTTAATTGTTTGTGAGGAGTATATTATATTTCCGCAAGATGACATCCTTGAATATTGACAAACATGCGTTCTCCATGTGTATCACTCGGAAGCGATCGTGCGGAAAATAGCAATCGGAATCGTTCGAGTACAAACTTTTTCGAGGTAAAAGTTCAAAGGGTATGTGCGAATGTTAACTTTCGCGATTTGGTAAGCCGTGTTCTGATTGGTCGCGACCTTCTACTAGGGTTTGATAGACTCGGTATAGCAGTGCAACGAAGAATAAAGTTTACTTTGACTACATACATTTGGACATTTGTGACAATGTGTACCAAAATGGCCTTGATCACATTTTATACAGACGCCGTCATTCTTTCGATCACATTTTGAGCATTTGTTCCTGCACGGGAAGTTACACATTTTTCCCTTGTAGCCATCGTTACACCCATCCGTGCAGTCAATGCATCCATCATGAAGAAATGTATAGGTTCCTCCCAAACAGTAAGCCGGGCAGCTTTTATCAGCCTAGACTAATGGACGGACACTTGCCTCCGAAGTTATAGTGTTTGTTGATGTGCAGTCTCTCATCATGCCTGTAAAAGCGCAAAGCAAATATACAAATATATAGGTAGACATTGGCGGTTAATTGATAATGGACGAGAATAAAATGTGTCCTGTTATTGCATTTTCAGAATCTTTCAGTTTCAAACGTTCCTTTTTCTGTAAACAAGGCCACACATAGGCAGTAACATGATTAATTAAACTATAATAAAACGATACATACGCTTTATATACATCCTATATATTACATTAGATTTGTCATCAGCGTTACATCAATATGAATCGGAAAGGACTGGATCTACACGATGTATATGTTACAGGGAATGTGCGAAACCAGGGATTTCATGTAATCCCTAAACGAGTCATTGATTTCGTGAAATCACTGTAACCCCAGGGATTTCATGTATTCCCTAAAATTTCAAGGGATTTCATGCTCACCTTTTCACGAACAGCTGGTTCATCACTATTCCATAGTGATGCATGTACACGTGCTCTGTCATCGAATCGCATGGTGACAATCACTAGATTGTCTGGTCCAGACCCCGATTTGTTTACAAACAATATCATACAGCTGTAATACTGCTGAAACAAATATCTGCACATGATATAGTCACAATTGAACAACCGATTCTACTTTTGGCAGAGATTTCTTGAGATTTCTTGAGATGAATGAGGAAAGGATTTTGTCGCTTCTATATTTATAAACAGTCCCTTTTACGGTATCAATTAACAGGCAGGCAAACTTTCACAACAATTACATCGTTTATATTTCCGTGTATTAGGCTGACTCAATGTCAAAACTCATGAGTCTCCAGTCAAGACTTTAACGGACAGGAAGCAGCACAGTTCTTTATAGTGACTACGTCAGTATCTCGTGAACGTAGGATTAGTTTGTGGAAGTGTACTTTGCTGCAACATCATGGCCTGGTAAGTCTCAGAACTTTACTCTGGACCTTGCTGTTATTATCTTACTGCAGGCGACTGTCTCGGTTTTAGGCCTATTTAGATGTTTCTAAATTTGAAAATATAACAACAATGAAAAATTTCCATCTAAACTTCAATTGGTCGACATTGATATCTTACAAAGACGGAAGAACAGCATGTTAAATATTCGTGACAGTGACGTTACGAGTCCAATTGTGGGGCAGGGGTCAAGAAACTAGCTATCACTAGCGTACGCATACACGACCTTTAATAACATTAACACTTTATTTGAGTCAAACATGGTTTGAATATTAACTTTGTATGTATCTTTTATGATCTACACTTCTAAATGTCCTCCAAAGACACACTGCGTTTTCGTAGATGCGTTCTTACTGAAAATCGATTATATACGATATATAATTATGAACGTACATTACAACATTTGATGTATGGACATCGTTAACGTATCATCAGATCTGTTTGTTTGTTATATAAATCATTCAAACGGGTTTGTAAATTATGTAAATGTGTAATTATTGTCGACGTCTATCCAAAAACCATGTTACTAGAAATATTTTTCTCAATGCATATTTCGCTCATACCGTGTCGTTAGGTTCATTTAACAGGGAATAACTGATTGTACCAACAAAACTGGTCCACGAATAGTTTGACACAATTCGTAAAGAGACGGTTCTGAGTGGTAATGATGAAATATTATTCAATTTTTTTTTCAGGAAGACTTTGTGGAAATACATGTACTGTATTATTTTTGCTGCTGCATACCAAGGTTTGTCCAGAAATTTATGTTTAAAAATTGCTTTGCATTACACTGGTCTTGTGGAAATGAATATCCCTGGTCTCGTCCCTAAATGGCTGTCGCTAATGTCGATACAGTGCAACTCATTCACCTTGCATGCTATTTTCTCAGTTAAAGAAATATTCCTGAAACGCCCTTAAAGCATATTAAAAAGGATATATGTATTAATAAACGTTTCGTTCCCACAGTGATATTTAAGAAAGCGAAATACACATCATTAATTTTAATGTAGGTGACAGGACATGATGATGTATTGTCGGATAATTTTCTAACAGTCGAGATAGTTTACTTTATTGTGCAGTTCAAGTCCCTTTCAATTCTCATTCATACAAAGCTGATGTAAAACCCAATGTAATAAACGCATGTATATCAAGCGTATATATCGTCATATTCCATTTCAACTCATGTCATTATCAGTTACGTTGCTCACAGAAAGGGCGGGTATGAAAATGGATCAGATTGAAAATGCAATTACAGGACACACTATCAGTTTACCACCAATGTCCACAGATAAATTTGTCTGATTTGCGCTCTTACAGGCCTGATGAGAGACTGCACAGCAACAAACATAACTGCGAAGACAGTTCCAGCGGCTGTCAGTCCTCAAATCAACGCTGGGAAAAGCTGTCCGGTCAACTGTTTGAGAGGAACCTGTACATTTCTTGATGATGGAAGTATTGAGTGCACGGATGGGTGTAACGATGGGTACATGGGGAAAATGTGTCAAGTCCTGTGCATGAACAAATGCTCAAAATGTGATCGAAAGAATGACGGCGTCTGTATCAAGTGTGATCACGGATACTTTGGTAAACAATGCCACAAATGTCCAAAAGCATGTGGGGGACAAGGATGTCTTAGTGATGGCAGCTGCAAGAAGGACTGTTTAGCCATCCATGTCTGTGGGAATCAATGTTTGCCCGGATGTGAGATATGTAATGAGACATTAGGTAAATGTCTGAAATGTGCCTACAATCTCATGGGAGATAACTGCAAGACCTCCTGTTCCGACAATTGTCGCTCTGTTTGTCCAACACAGAACTGCACGTCTCCGTGTGATAGGGACACGGGTCAATGTTTACATGGATGTAAGCCTGGTTTCTGGGGAGAACTATGTGCAGATCCATGTAGCTCCAGATGTCTAGACCAAAACTGTAATCAAACATCGGGACACTGTGTTAAATGCATAAAAGGCTACCATGGTCCTAAATGTCATTTGCCGTGTGTGAACTGCAAGGATAGTGGCTGCCTTCAATCATCAGGCACATGTAAGAAATGTGATGCTGGGTACTACGGACACACCTGTACACAAACCTGTTTCAACTGTTCCCTTAACGTCTGTGATCGAAACAATGGACTTTGTATCAACGTATCCTTGACAACGATGGAAATTGCCATGACTACAACAGTGTATGGTACGTACAGAAGTAATATATTTTCAGTTACGATTCTTTGTAGTGGATCGTATTATATGTGAAATTATAGTCATGTATATTTTTAAGACGTAGCCAGCTATGTAAGAACAAAATGGCTGAAATATACACACGTGCACTAATTAAGCACCACCTGCAGTTCAATTTGGTAAATTTTGGTCCACACAGTCGATCATACCGTAGCATACTGAAAAACACACTGAACGGACGTGCTTCACGCAATACATTGTATCTCAATTGTTATGGATCACCTGCTGTAAAGGCGCCAAGCAGATTACGGTATAAGTTCCTATGTGCGCTAAAGTTTTCTGAACTGATTTGAAACACGACAGTACTAAACATTAACTTTTCTTGACATGGGAAGACGTAGGCAACGATGGCAAGTTATTGGCATGGACTTTTTAACAAAACCAGGACTGGTTCAAATACTCCATTGACACTTACATGTCATCTCCAATATTACGACGTTTCTTTTGCCTTTCAGTATATGTGCACTCATGTTACAGAATTGGAGCGAAACACTGTGTATTCCGACTGCACCTGGACATCAGTTACTCACTATATCTCCAGTTACATTGGCATTGGCTGTCTTTGGTGCAGTCTCCTCCATACTGACCATCTTTCTTGTTTGTCGGTAGAGTAAACTATAGGTGTCTTGGCATAATTCGCATTGTGGAGGACACAAAAACAGTGGAGTGAGTGATTGAGTTTAGTTTTGTGCCGAGCTCAGCAATATTCCAGCTATATGGCAACGGTCTATGTAAAATAATCGAGTGTGGATCAGACAATCCAGGGATCAAAGAGCATGAGCATTGATCTACGCAATTGGGATACGATGACATATATCAGCCAATCGTCAGCGAACCTGACCTCCCGATCCCGTTAGTCGCTTCTTACGACAAGGGATGGATCATTTCTAACTAATCTTCACGGGTCCAAAAAACAGTTGGAGATATAAGTAGATAAGTGGTAAAGTTCTCCAAATCACCTGCTCAGAGTATTTGTCGCTGGCACAGTTAGACCTGCGATGACGTATGACAACATACCTCTATATAGATAATATATTCGTCCAGTTATACCCTAAATCTGAATGCGTGTCGCCTTACCCAACATTAGAAATGAAAAGTGTATGTGTAAAGAAGAAAACATATCGTTCAGAAGGTCGAAATTTGTGGCTTCAAGGAAGGACAGTAAAATCTGTATTAATACATGACATACCAAAGGCAAGGACATTCAGAGACACAAACAAAGAGCAGAATGAGTGTTAAGAGGTGGTCACATCTTACGGTCATGAGTGAGTGAGTGAGTTTAGTCTTAGGCCGCACTCAGTAATATAGCAGCTATATGGCGGATTATGGTCATAAACGTTGTTGACCGTAACTCATTTGAAACTGTAGTTTAATCGTAGTGCCATGTTACCACGGTGTACTACGGTCAACACAACAGTGCAGGAAGGTGAATTACGGTCATTTTGGGAGAACTAGGGTCAAACACGTTCATGCGGTAACAATAGGCTCTTACGATTCAAGCCATACAGCCGTAGAGACATTTGCTGAAGTTCAAAGTACGGTGATCTACTCTCGAACTGCGCTTAAATACGTCCATCTATGTTTAACTAAGGTCAAATACGGTTTACTACGTTTATCCCTCACTACGGTCAACTACGTGCGTGTCCGTAACATGTGAGCCCTGCTTCAACCATTTGCCTACTCCAGTTGAAAAAACCAAATGCTTGATATTCACAACATTACCAATTTCCAAGAAATTCCATTTTTTTTGCCTCCAAGTATAGTCTCTTTATGATTTATTTAAGTGTTGATTTCACTAAAGCCACTCAGTCTTTGAGATTAGTAGTGAATATGTTAGAATTACATTCTAATAAACTCAATGGTTAAATTTCAATGTTTCAGATTAGGAAGAGTTCAATCCAGTTTGATCACGTACAGAAGTGGTCATCAGCCAGCTGCCCGGGATGTAGTGTACGGTAATAATGAATACGATGAGATTAACGAGGAAATGATGGACCCAACTTCGGGTAACACAAACAGCGATGAACCTTATTACAGTCCCCTCGTTCATCTTGAATGATAGAACACGGCTTCATTACACACCTTTGTGACCTGTTTCACAGAATGATCAAATTTCGCTATTATGTAAAATGCTTTCTTGAATTATAGAATTTGGTATGGTGGATTCAAATTCATTATCATTGGGATAGAAAGGTAAAAGGAAAAATCCGATGCCCAAAGAAACTATAGGACTTGAATTACTCTGACGTCATGCCTTTGGGAAACTTTTTGAGAAGCTATTACTTAAACGAATAGAAACTAAATTGCTTGAAAATAATCCTTATTTCCCTGAGATACAATTTGGATTTAGAAAGGAACATGGGGCAGTTATGGGCGTTTTTGCTCTTATTGAATGTATCAGATATTACATTGAGAAAAAACTCTACAGCATATGCTGCCTTTTTAGGTAAATAAACAGCATTTGACAGAATATGGCACGATGGTCTATTTTACAAGTTACATCAACTGGACATCCAGGGAATCATCTGGAAACTACTGCACTACAGTTATACAAATAATATGCTTTTGTAAGATATAAGGGTGAAAACTCTGACAGGTATCCTGTTTAGCAAGGTGTTGGCCAAGGCAGTGTCATGTCGTCCTGGTTCTTCTTAGTGTTTATCAATGACTTGATTTCTTCTCTGAGACAGGCTAGTAATGGCCTAAGTGTGTGTGTGGTCTGAATGTTCCGACGATATTGCTTGCTGACGACACAACACTTCTTAGTACTTCACCAGAGGGATTTCAAATTGCTCTCGATATTGTACATACATATGCCAATAAATGGCGCTTAACATACAATCCTGCAAAAAGCACAGTAATGATTTTTGATAAAAGTAAACGTAAAGTTAAAACTGTAAACTACACTCTTGCAATGAAAACATTGCATCAGTAGATTCCACTACTTACGGCGGTATACTTCTAACGTCTGATTTAAAATGTAAATCTAGAATTGAAAAGTGTTGTCAGAAAGCATGACAGAGTGTTAATTCCCTTAAATTCTTGGGGCTAACTAACACTGACCTACATCCAGCTACCAGTGTTAAAATATGGCAAACAATGATTCTGAAAACAACTTTTATGGCTGTGAACTATTGTTTGACATTAAAGGGCAACAACTTTGTTTGCTAGAAAACACACAGCGGTACTTTGCCCGCAATGTCCAGGGACTAGATAAGAGATCTCCGTTTGAATCCACCATTGCAAACTTAGGATTGTGGACTACATTGATAAAAGTAAACTCCCGTTCTTTGGCTCTTTATGCAACACTAGTTGTGAGAATCTCATAAAACACTTATTCTGTGCTTCCATGGCTAATACGTCCCGAAAATCAGTTATTTGTGGAGATCTTGGGTCTGTTTTGTGCAAATGCAACCTTAGAAACTACATATATACTCATTTATACAGTGGTTCATCCCCCCCCCCCCCAAAGACCCCAAAACACCAGTTGAGACGAATTCTAAACAGACATGTTCACGAATGTGAAGAACAAATGTGGCGTAACAAAGTATCACTTAATGCAGGACTGTATCGTTACATGCGAGCTCATACATCCCTGATATATCACATACTTTTCAACTTAGCATTTTTATAGCCTGAACACAGAGCAGCCTTGCGATTGTGTTTGAAAATTTCATCACGAAATAAAATTTCAAAAGAATGTTTGCTTTGTAACAAGCACGCTTATGATTATGACAACCATGTGATACTACACTGTGAAAAATTATTACCTCTCCGAAATAACTTTTTCTCATCTCTGATTGATCTACTTGATGTTGAAACCTATGTAAATTTTGAAATGTTGGAAGACGATGAAATGCTGTCAACTCTCCAAAGTGCAGATACACAGTTCACACGATCCCTAGTGCGGGACACGTACCATGTTGTCATTATAAACTTTGCAAAATAGGTCTATCATTTGAAACCATATCTTGAGTTTGTATTTTAATGGAGACACTCTGCGTACAAGTGATGCTATCCCTTTGTGAATGTTTCATTATATCTCTGTCATATCAATTGTCAACTATGATTGAATTCATGCATCAATAATCTTCGGATTGATTTCTGGATGAAATAAAGAATCTCTCTCAGCATATTTTCCCTTGATGGTTTTTCTGGGTCTTTTTCTGGAGCTACATTGATCTGCACATAGTTCTCCCATGAAACCAGGCTTACATCCATGTAAACATCGACCCGTGTCCCTATCACACGGAGACGTGCAGTTCTGTGATGGACAGACAGAGCGACAGTTGTCGGAACAGGTGATCTTGCAGTTCTCTCCCAACAGATTGTAGGCACATTTCTGACATTTACCTTATGTCTCATTTCCGGGCAAACATTTATCCCCACAGACATGGATGGCTAAACAGTCCTTGCAGCTGCCATCACTAAGACACCCTTGTCCTCTACATGCATTTCAGTTTAAGTAAACTTAGGCTCAGTATTATTCGTTACACTGCTATACTGAGTCTCACAAAAACTAGTAGAAGGTCGCGTCAGCTAACCCTTGTGTGGCCTATGACCGTCCATTAAAACGCGAGACGACTGAAAGAATTGAACCAATCACAAAACGGCTACTGTTTGGGGTTCGGTGGGACGTTTTCAAAATTGTCTCTACCCTGATCACTGACACTGATCTCTCAACATAAAACACAGATATTTGACCTGCAGTACATATGCTTTGGGGTTTCTGATGACATGGTTACTACTCCTCACAAAACCTTAAACAACACAAATTTGTAGTTTCATTACATTTTCATTTTCGAAATTGCAAATCATGGAATGATGCAATAGAAAGGTGAAACATATGCACACGATTAGCAAAATGAAATGAAATGGTATTGAGCAATAATCGACTTACAAATCATCAAAAGCATGTACCCGCGAAACAGTCGTGCAAAATGTGCTGCATTGATGGAGCAAAATGTAAACATTAAGGTTCAAGTCAGTGTTGGACAATGAAGCAGTGTTCAGTAACGCGTATGGGGGTGAACATGGAGACCGTAAACACGACTTCCAATAATGTCCCAAGCATGTTCAATGGGGTTAAGATCAAGTGACCTTGCTGGCCAGTCCATATGTGTGATTTTGTTGATCTAAACAACATCGTTAACAACTCTTTCTCGGGCATTATCAACAATGGACGGACATTGTCACCCATAACAATGAAGGTAGGACCCGCTTGTTGTAACAGAGGAATGATTACAGGTAGGTTTACACCGATCAGGGCGCATTTGTGAAGAGTGGAGCACATTCATGCCACACATTTCGCATGTTGTTTCTGAGGGTGGTTGTGTTTGGAATATTGACAAAAGGTCATGCGTTCTTTGATGTTTATTTCATTTCGGAAAAATCGCTATGCGGAAAATAGCAATCGGAATGGTTCGAGTACAAACGTTTTTGAGGTAAATTATTGTCCGCAAATGTTATTGAACTTCGCGATCACTCGGAAGTAAAATAGCTGTTCTGTTTTCGTTGCGACCTTCTACTAGGGTTTCGCGATTTGAAGAATCGCTATAGCGAGTGCTGAGGGTTTGATAGACTAAGCCAGATAAGTTTACTTTATAAGACTACTGTACATTTGGACATATGTGACAATGTGTACCAAAATATCCTTGATCACACTTCATACAGACGCTTGCATTCTTTCGATCACATTTTGAGCATTTGTTCCTGCACGGGAAGTTACACATTATCCCCTGTATCGTTACACCCATCCGTGCAGTCAATGCATCCATCATGAAGAAATGTATAGGTTCCTCCCCAAACAGTAGGCCGGGCAGCTTTTCTCAGCGTAGACTAATGGACGGACACTTGCCTCCGAAGTTATAGTGTTTGTTGATGTGCAGTCCTCATCATGCCTGTAAAAGCGCAAAACAAATATACAAATATATAGGTAGACATTGGCGGTAAATTGATAATGGACGAGAATAAAATGTGTCCTGTTATTGCATTTTCAGAATCTTTCAGTTTCAAACCTTCCTTTTTCTGTAAACCTTTTTCATCAGCGTTACATCAATATGAATCGGAAAGGACTGGATCTACACGATGTATATGTTACAGGGAATGTGTGAAACCAGGGATTTCACGTAATCCCTAAACGAGTCATTGATTTCGTTGAAATCACTGTGACCCCAGGGATTTCATGTATTCCTAAAAATTTCAAAGGGATTTCATGCTCACCTTTTCACGAACAGCTGGTTCATCACTATTCCATAGTGATTCATGTACACATGCTCTGTCATCGATAAAATATGGTACTTGTTGGTCCCTGCCTGGGGCTCGGCATTAATGGGTACAATAAGGACTGGTTGGCTCGGAGTCAGTATAATGTGTCTGAGTGGGGTATTCATGCTTCACTGCAGCATGGTACCTCAGTGGGCTAGCACTATTAAACCAGCTTAAGTCTGGGCTAGTACAAGCAGCCGCACATACACATACACACGCATTCACGTCGTCATATGAGCGAAATATTCTCAAGCACGACGTAAAACCCAATTTCACCTCACCTCTGTCATCGAATCGCATGGTGACAATCACTAGATTGTCTGGTCCAGACCCTGATTTGTTTACAAACAATATCATACAGCTGTAATACTGCTGAAACAAATATCTGCTCATGATATAGTCACAATTGAACAACCGACTCTGCTTTTGGCAGAGATTTCTTATGAATGAGGAAAGGGTTTTGTCGCTTCTATATTTATAAACAGTCCCTTTTACGGTATCAATTAACAGGCGGGCAAACTTTCACAACAATTACATCGTTTATATTTCCGTGTATTAGGCTGACTCAATGTCAAAACTCAAGAGTCTCCAGTCAAAACGTTAACCGACAGGAAGCAGCACAGTTCTTTATAGTGACTACGTCAGTATCTCGTTAACGTAGGATTAGTTTGTGGAAGTGTACTTTGCTGCAACATCATGGCCTGGTAAGTCTCAGAACTTTACTCTGGACCTTGCTGTTATTATCTTACTGCAGGCGACTGTCTCGGTTGTAGGCCTATTTAGATGTTTCTAAATTTGAAAATATAAGAACAATGAAAAATTTCCATCTAAACCTCAATTGGTCGATATTGATATCATACAAAGACGGAAGAACAGCATGTTAAATGTTCGTGACAGTGACGTTACGAGTCCAAATGTGGGGCAGGGGTCAAGAAACTAGCTATCACTAGCGTACGCATACACCACATTTCATAACATTAACACTTTATTTGAGTCAAACATGGTTTGAATATTAACTTTTTATGTATCTTTTATGATCTACACTTCTAAATGTCCTCCAAAGACACACTGCGTTTTCGTAGATGCGTTCTTACTGAAAATCGATTATATACGATATATAATTATGAACATACATTACAACATTTGATGTATGAACATCGTTAACGTATCATCAGATCTGTTTGTTTGTTTTATAAATCATTCAAACTGGTTTGTAAATTATGTAAATGTGTAATTATTGTCGACGTCTATCCAAAAACCATGTTACGAGAAATATTTTTCTCAATGCATATTTCGCTCATACCGTGTCATTAGGTTCCTTTAACAGGGAATAACTGATTGTACCAACAAAACTGGTCCACGAATAGTTCCACACAATTCGTAAAGAGACGGTTCTGAGTGGTAATGATGAAATATTATTCAATTATTTTTTTTCAGGAAGACTTTGTGGAAATACTGTATTATTTTTGCTGCTGCATACCAAGGTTTGTCCAGAAACTTATGTTTAAAAATTGCTTTGCATTACACTGGTCTTGTGGAAATGTATATCCCTGGTCTCGTCCCTAAATGGCTGTCGCTAATGTCGATACATTGCAACTCACTCACCTTGCATGCGATTTTCGCAGTTAAAGAAATATTCCTGAAACGCCCTTAAAGCATATTAAAAAGGATATATGTATTAATAAACGTTTCGTGCCTTCAGTGATATTTAAGAAATCGAAATACACATCATCAATTTTAATGTAGGTCACAGGACATGATGATGTAATGTTGGATAATTTTCTAACAGTCGAGATCGTTTACTTTATTGTGTTGTTCAAGTCCTTTTCAATTCTCATTCATAAAACGCTGATGTAAAACCCAATGTGATATAGCGCATGTATATCAAGCGTATATATCGTCATATTCAGTTTGAACTCGCGTCATTATCAGTTACGTTGCTCACAGAAAGGGAAGGTATGAAAAGGATCAGATTGAAAATGCAATTACACGACACACTATCAGTTTACCACCAATGTCCATCGATAAATTTGTCTGATTTGCGCTCTTACAGGCCTGATGAGAGAGACTGCACAGCAACAAACATAACTACGAAGACAGTTCCAGCGGCTGTCAGTCCACCAATCAACGCTGGAAAAAGCTGTCCGGTCAACTGTTTGAGAGGAACCTGTACATTTCTTGATGATGGAAATATTGACTGCACGGATGGGTGTAACGATGGGTACATGGGAAAATGTGTAACTTCCGTGCATAAACAAATGCTCAAAATGTGATCGAAAGAATCACGGCGTCTGTATCAAGTGTGATCACGGATACTTTGGTAAACAATGTCACAAATGTCCAAATGCATGTGGAGGACAAGGATGTCTTAGTGATGGCAGCTGCAAGAAGGACTGTTTAGCCATCCATGTCTGTGGGGATAAATGTTTGGCCGGATGTGAGATATGTAATGAGACATTAGGTAAATGTCAGAAATGTGCCTACAATCTCATTGGAGAGAACTGTAAGACCTCCTGTTCCGACAATTGTCACTCTGTTTGTCCAACACAGAACTGCACGTCTCCGTGTGATAGGGACACGGGTCGATGTTTACATGGATGTAAGTCTGGTTTCTGGGGAGAGCTATGTGCAGATCCATGTAGCTCCAGATGTCTAGACCAAAACTGTAATCAAACATCGGGACACTGTGTTAAATGCATAAAAGGCTACCATGGTCCTAAATGTCATTTGCCATGTGTGAACTGCAAGGACAGTGGCTGCCTTCGATCATCAGGCACATGTAGAAACTGTGATCCTGGTTACTATGGACACACCTGTACACATACCTGTTTCAACTGTTCCCCTAACGTCTGTGATCGAAACAATGGACTTTGTATGAACGTATCCATGACCACTATTATAGGTATATGTATTGATCTCTATCGAATGAAACCAGGTTTAAAGACTGTTAATTGGAATTCGATATTGTACACATTTAGAAACTAGGATCGTTACATACGGAATTGTATGCTGGAATGTTTGACTATGTTTAAAGTAACTTAATTAAGCACCCGTTGTATTTCCTCTGAAGGGCCATTTCTCGGAAGGGAAGAGTTCGCACAAATACATCATGCATCATGCATACATTCAGTCATAAAATGCCGACTTGAATGACAAGGGTTCACTTGTTTTCTGAATACAGAAGCTATGGCTAGGTGAGCGAGACGTGTTACTGCTGTGTTCAGAAAACAAGTGAACTCTTCCCTCTCCACAAACAAACACATTTCTGACCTCAATCTCAAACAATAATTTATTGGGCAAAACAGGCTATCTGACCACGATTCATGGTTTCCTCAAACTTGACTTTTAACAAACCAGGACTGGTTCAAATACTCCATTGACACTTACATGTCATCTCCAATATTACGACGTTTCTTTTGCCTTTCAGTATATATGCACACTCATGTTACAGAATTGGGCAACACAAGTATTCCGACTGCACCTGGACATCAGTTACTCACTATATCTCCAGTTACATTGGCATTGGCTGTCTTTGGTGCAGTCTCCTCCATACTGACCATCTTTCTTGTTTGTCGGTAGGTAAACTATAGGTGTCTTGGCATAATTCGCATTGTGGAGGACACAAAAACAGTGGAGTGAGTGATTGAGTTTAGTTTTGTGCCGAGCTCAGCAATATTCCAGCTATATGGCAACGGTCTGTAAATAATCGAGTCTGGATCAGACAATCCAGGGATCAAGAGCATGAGCATTGATCTACGCAATTGGGATACGATGACATATATCAACCAAGTCAGCGAACCTGACCTCCCGATCCCATTAGTCGCTTCTTACGACAAGCATGGATCATTTCTAACCCCAATCTTCACGGGTCCAAAAACGGTGGAGATATAAGTAGATAAGTGGTAAAGTTCTAAAATCACCTGCTCCGAGTATATGTCGCTGTCACAGTTAGGCCTGTGATGACATGTGACAACATACCTCTATAAGATAATATATTCGTCCAGTTATACCTAAATCTGAATGCCCGTCGCCTTACCAACACATTAGAAATGAAAAGTGTATGTGTAAAAAGAAGAAAACATATCGTTCCAGAAAGGTCGAAATTTGTGGCTTCAAGGAAGGACAGTAAAGTCTGTATTAATACATGACATGCCAAAAGGCAAGGACATTGAGAGACACAAACGAAGAGCAGAATGAGTGTTAAGAGGTGGTCACATCTTATGGTCATGAGTGAGTGAGTGAGTTTAGTCTTAGGCCGCACTCAGTAATATAGCAGCTATATGGCCGATTACGGTCATAAACGTTGTTGACCGTAACTCATTTGAAACGGTAGTTTAATCGTAGTGCCATGTTACCACGGTTTACTACGGTCAACACAACGGTGCAGGAAGGTCAATTACGGTCTCCTTGGGAGAAATAGGGTCAAACACGTTCATGCGGTAACAATAGGGTCTTACGATTCAAGCCATACAGCCGTAGAGACATTTTGAGCGTGTTGAAAATTATTTGGTCTAACCACGGCCAAATCGTGGGTTTGCTGAAGTTCAAAGTACGGTGATCTACTCTTGAACTGCGCTTAAATACGTCCATCTATGTTTAACTAAGGTCAAATACGGTTTACTACGTTTATCCCTCACTACGGTCAACTACGTGCGTGTCCGTAACATGTGAGCCCTGCTTCAACCATTTACCGTACTCTAGTTGAAAAATCCAAATGCTTGATATTCACAACATTACCAATTACAAAGGAATTCCAATCATTTTACCTCCAAGTATAGTCTCTTTATGATTTATTTAAGTGTTGATTTCACTAAAGCCACTCAGTCTTTGAGATTAGTAGTGAATATGTTACAATTACATTCTGATAAATTTGATTAAGTTTCAGTGTTTCAGATTCGGAAGAGTTCAGTCCAGTTTGATCACCAACAGAAGTGGTCATCAGCCAGCTGCCCGGAATGTAGTATACGGTAATAATGAATACGGTGAGATTAACGAGGAAATGATGGACCCAACTTAGGGTAACACAAACAGCGATGAACCTTATTACAGTCCCTTCGTTCATCTTTAGCTGAAGACCAAATGTCGAGGCAGTTTCCAGAACATGCATCGTGGATCATTCCACACCGGTTTTAGTTCCCGTGCGATTTGAATCCTTTGAGCACCATATATGTGCTATTACGGATGTCTGACTTGGAATATCAGCTGGTGACATAGCGCCCCCGTGGAGGAAAACTCGTCATGTCTTTTTTTGTGTAATATATACTTCAAGCAAAAAGAATGGGAACACCTTAAAATCTGATAGTCATAACTAAACTTAAACGTGTTGAGGTCAATTAAAACTTTAAAGGGCACTTTAACCGACATGTTGGGTTGTGCAGTGAAGCAACTGATTCAATATTCGTTTTGAGTGAAAGGAAATATTGTGAAAACAGCGAAAAACAAGGGTGCTGAAACACACCAGCACCAGTGTCTCATTACACACCTTTGTGACCTGTTTCACAAAGTGATTAAATTTCGCTATGTGCCTTTTAATTATAGACTTGGTATGGTGATTCCAATCGAGAAAGGTAAAAAGGAGAAATCCGATGCCCGAAACTATAGGGGAATTACTCTGAGAAGCTATAACTCAAACGAATAGAAACTAAATTGCTTGAAAATAATCCTTATTTCCCTGACATACTCCAAATTGGATTTAGAAAGGAACATAGGGCAGGTATGTGCCTTTTTGCTCTTATTGAATGTATCAGATATTAAATTGAGAAAAAACTCTACAGTATATGCTGCTTTTTTAGGTAACTAAAAAGCATTTGACAGAATATGGCACAATGGTCTATTTTACAAGTTACATCAACTGGACATCCGGGGAAACATCTGGAAACTACTGCACTACAGTTATACAAATAGTTATGCTGTTGTAAGATATAAGGGTGAAAACTCTGACAGGTATCCTGTTTAGCAAGGTGTTGGCCAAGGCAGTGTCATGTCGTCCTGGTTTTTCTTAGTGTTTATCAATGACTTGATTTCTTCTCTGAGACAGGCTAGTAATGGCCTAAGTGTGTGTGTGGTCTGAATGTTCCGACTATATTGCTTGCTGACGACACAACACTTCTTAGTACTTCACCAAAGGGACTTAAAATTGCTCTCGATACTGTACACAGATATGTCAATAAATGGCGCTTAACATACAATCCTTCAAAAGCACAGTAATCATATTTGATAAAAAAATAAACGTAAAGTTAACACTGTAAACTACACTCTTGGCAATGAAAACATTGCATCAGTAGATTCCACTACTTACGGCGGTATACTTCTAACGTCTGATTTAAAATGTAAATCTAGAATTGAAAAGTGTTCTCAGAAAGCATGACAGAGTGTTAATTCCCTTAAATTCTTGGGGCTAAATAACACTGACCTAGTTGCTACATCCAGCTACCAGTGTTAAGATATGGCAAACAATGATTCTGAAAACAACTTTTATGGCTGTGAAGTATTGTTTGACATTAAAGGGCAACAACTTTGTTTGCTAGAAAACACACAGCGGTACTTTGCCCGCACTGTCCAGGGACTAGATAAGAAATCTCCGTTTGAATCCACCATTGCAAACTTAGAATTGTGGACTACATTGATAAAAGTAAACTCCAGTTCTTTGGCTCTTTATGCAACACTAGTTGTGAGAATCTCATAAAACACATATTCTGTGCTTTCACGGCTAATACGACCGGAAAATCAGTTATTTGTGGAGATCTTGGGTCTGTTTTGTGCAAATGCAACCTTAGAAACTACTTATATACTCATTTATACAGTGGTTCACCCCCAAAAAAAAAAAACCACAAAAAAAAACGCACACAAAAACAGACACAAAAAACAAGTGGAGACGAATTGTAAACAGACATGTTCACGAATGTGAGAAGAACAAATGTGGCGTAACAAAGTATCATAATGCAGACAGTCTCGTTACATGCGAGCTCATACATCACTGATATATCACATACTTTTTGAACTTAGCATTTTTATAGCCTGACACAGAGCAGCCTTGCGATTGTGTTTGAAAATTTCATCACGAAATAAAATCTCAAAGAATGTTTGGTTTGTAACAAAGCACGCTTATGATTATGACAATCATGTGATACTACACTGTGAAGATTATTACCTCTCGAAATAACTTTTTTACTCATCTCTGATTGATCTTGATGTTGAAACCTATGTAATTTTGAAATGTTGGAAGACGATGAAATGCTGTCAACTCTCCAAAGTGCAGATACACAGTTCACACGATCCCTAGTGCGGGACACATACAATGTTGTCATTATAAACTTTGCAAAATATGCCTATCATTTGAAACCATATCTTGAGTTTGTATTTTAATGGAGACACTCTGTGTACAAGTGACGCTATCCCTTTGTGAATGTTTCATTATATCTCTGTACATATCAATTGTCAACTATGAATGACATTGTCCTGTATGTAAATAGTAATGTGTTTTATGTTTGATTGAATTCATGCATCAATAATCTTCGGATTAATATCTGGATGAAATAAAGAATCTCTCTCAGCATATTTTCCCTTGATGTTTTTTTCTGGGTCTTTTTCTGGAGCTACATTGATCTGCACATAGCTCTCCACAGAAACCAGGCTTACATCCATGTAAACATCGACCCGTGTCTCTATCACACGGAGACGTGCAGTTCTGTGATGGACAGACAGAGCGACAGTTGTCGGAACAGGTGATCTTGCAGTTCTCTCCCATGAGATTGTAGGCACATTTCTGACATTTATGTCTCATTGCATATCTCACATCCGGGCAAACATTTATCCCCACAGACATGGATGACTAAACAGTCCTTCTTGCAGCTGCCATCACTAAGACACCCTTGTCCTCCACATGCATTTCAGTTTAAAGTAAACTTAGGCTCCAGTATTATTCGTTACACTGCTATACTGAGTCTAACAAACTAGTAGAAGGTCGCGTCAGCTAACCCTTGTGTGGCCTTTGTCCGTCAATCAAACGCAGAGACGACCAGAAAGATTGAATGAACCAATTACAAAGGCGGCTACTGTTTGGGGTTCGGTGGGACGTTTTCAAAGTGTTCACCAAGTCACCGGGGCGGCGAGGTAGCCTCCTGGTTAAAGCGTTCGTTCGTCACGCCGTAGACCCGGGTTCGATTCCCCACATATGTACAATGTGTGAAGCCCATTTCTGGTGCCACTGCCGTGATATTGCTGGAATATTGCTAACAGCGGCGTTAAACTAAACTCACTCACTCACTCATCAAGTCACCGAGTCTGACCATCTACAGTAGCTTGGAGGGGTTAATTCCCATAAATCAGCCTTATGAAGAGGGGAAGTCACCATGCCCCGCCCTAGACCGTTCAATACCAATATATGAAACACGGACAATTGTGATCTTTAATATCATTATTGAAATACTTATGCTTCTTAAAATACGTACTCCAAAGGCCATTTTGAAACACATGTTCGCGAAGCACATTACTGTCAGTCATCTGACGTTATACATCCCCTGGGGCGGTGGGGTAGTCAAGTGGTTAAAGCGTTCGCTCGTCACGCCGAAGACCCGGGTTCGATTCCCCACATGGGTACAATGTGAGAAGCCCATTATGGTGTCCCCCGCCGTGTTATTGCTGGAATATTGCTAAAAGCGGCGTAAAACTTGACTCACTCACTCACTCACTTATATATCCCCATTATACTGTAGCTGTAGATTATTATCATCTGTTGAACCATACACATATAGAGACGATATTGAAGCTGAACGATCAAGGCTGTCTCCATACCCAAGTTCGACCCCCCACTCCCCACTTGTTTAGTATCTTGTGTTACCCACCGGTATTCCTGGAATAATACTAAAAGCGGCTTAAAAACATTTCTACACAGTTCACATAATAATACATATATTAGTTTTAATACCTTACCTATGCCGACATAGCGCCTAAAGGCTTGACATGTTTATAATGCTACATTAGCTGTCACTTATCTGTTCTTATGTCACACAGATGACTTGCTTCAGACCTGTTTGTAATGTACCTCATGATACATATCTCCTAATTTTGTAACAAACAAAATTTGCGTTTTCAAATGAGTTACACGATTTCATGATTTTTATGTCCCATATACTAGCACTACTGGGCATGTTTATCACGTGTTGAAAAACCAACAGCACATTTTTTAATCTCTTACGGAACATCCCTTTGGGTGTCAGTGTGTTCACTACATGAACATAAGAAGGGCAATAAGATCATGTTTACGCGTCCACTTCAAAGAAATGAACATAAGAAGGGACTCATATTCCTATTTTAGGAAAGGTACCGGTTCACTATTTTATCGATACATATATATTTCTAATTGAATGGGAAATTAGCCCTTCCCACATACAATACACTCATGTAAGGTACAGTAAAGGAATTTATCTAAATGAAAAATGTTTTGTTTTTGTGAAAGCAGAAAACGTGTAAGCATTCATCCATGCTTGCCAGATCACCGGATAAAAAGCGTGAAATGAAGCGTACATTTAACGACCACGTTTGTTCAGACCCCCCTGGGCTAATGCTTCACTGTGAGAAATCATACTAATATATCCCAAACTCCATACACCGCTCTTCAGAGAGACAACGTGGATACATTCTTACTTTACCAAGTCATAACATGAATTTATTATTTGAGTTCTGGTGATTATCATCAGCAAGTTCCCCTACAGTGTTTGACTGTGGGACTGATACACGTGTTTTTACTTGCAGTGGAAACACCGGACAGGCCGTGTCCCAAATGGAGACAGAGTTCCATTTGACATCGCCATGGATGGGAAGACAATGATAACAGTGTCCCACAAACCAGAGGGTTCTGCAGAAAACTTCAGAGAGACAACCAACTTGTTTGTCTTTAACAGGGTATGTATTAAATCCAAGCTTTTACCGACATTAAGGAACATTTAATTCATATATGAAAAAATATATTTTCGGTTAAATTATTATAAAAATTATAAATAATTAAAGTGAATGTTTTTAACCTTCTTTTTTTGTAACTTTTTTCAGAATCTGGTGGCAATTCGCGACAGTGTGGACAAAAGGTGTTACATTCAACACACAGACGCTACATATGCAGAGATGAAGGCAATGGTCAACGGCGATGCCCAGGTACCTTTGATTATTATGTACACACATCTATTCCTTGTGAATATTTGTGTCTTTTTTAAATGAGTTTTATACAGAGAGGTTCTATATGTCGATATGTCATTTCAAACGGCCATGGTTCTTACAGTTTCTTGCTTACCATTTCAAAAGTACGTTACATATTCAGCTACACATGCACATGTAATGAACTGACCTTGCAAGTGAAGTTATTCATCATGCTGTTGTATGTGTCTCAGTTTATATGCTAGTGAAAGTTTAGGGTTGTTGTTGTTGTTTTACGCCGCACTCAGCAATATTCCAGCTATATGGTGTCGGTCTGTAGATTATTGACTCTGGGCCAGACAATCCAGAGATCAACATCATGAACATCGAAGTGAAGGTTAAAAGTACTTAAGGAAGTACGTATATACTTATACAAGAGTTATCTCCCATGAAATTCCCTCCCCCCTTAATCGTTAGGGTCTCTTCTGTTCCATTTTGGTTTGGTTTGGTTGTTTAAAGCCGCACCCTGCAATATTCCAGTTATATGGCGGAGGTCTGTAAGTGAACGTTAAGTACTCAGGGAAGAAGGGAGCACGTGGCCCAGTGGTCTATGGCGCATTTGTCGTACTGAGTTGTGTCAATGTGTTTTGGGATATGATTAAGGGTTCGAATCCCAGTGTCACACAGTGTCTTGCTTTGATGTTAACGTTTTACATGTGGCCCTGGGTTTCGTCAAAGACGTAAACGATTGTCACTGATAATTCGCCTTACTTGCCTATGAAAATTAAGAAACATTTTTCACAGAAATTATATAATTTTATCACAATCAATCACTTTTCTTACAGGACACAAACGGCGATGTAACTGGAGATGAAGAAAGGATTGATGTTTCAAGTCTCACCTGCAAACCCTTCACGCCATTTGCTGTCAAACTTCTCTTCGGTGACGAAATCGAATCGTTCTGTCGATTTCACGACGTGTACTTCCTTGATGACTCCAATGTTCAAGTTGTTGGAAAGGAAGTTGCACCAATTGGAGGTAGGAGGGATTTAACTCTTACATTCGGTGAACAGTAATTCTTCGTTTTGTTTACCTTAGAGAAGATAAATGATGTTTGTCGTTCACTGACACTTGATAATGATGTTACAGTATTTATATAAAGTGTCCAATTTGTCATGATTTTCAATTAAAACACCACAGTCCACCTTCATGATATATCCTAATGACGCACACGCTCTCACAGAGTTTCTCCCTAAAGCATTTACACACAATGTTCACCTGAACTTTCTCGCAGAAATCACGTCGAATTTAGCCGATTTTCACTTTAAATGTTTTAAATATTTCAGATGGCGCAGCTAACTTACGCCTGAGAAGAGACCTCGAGATTACGGTTACAGTTTCTATTGGGCCTATCAGAATTAAGGTGACCGTGAGAATTTAGTTATGCGTCACCGCATATTACTTACTGAGTGAAGTGTTGTTTTTCACACTGAAGAATTGTATTTAGGTAAATATTTGTTTGTCAGCATCTTCAGGAAACTTTATTGACTATGTATCAGTAAGACACACAGCTGTGGCCAGGTTTATATGTGCTTCAACAAAAGCAATCTGAAAATATAGGAAAATACTGATAATCTCCAAAACTCATGTATCAGCTTTACATGTTTATTTTGTTTGCGAACACCCGGTGTCAACACGTATTTTCCGGAGTATAGTGACATCGTTTTCACAGCTATCTGCTCGTCACGTCAGATGGAATCTGTTCCGAAGATAGTCAATACTTTTTAACTCTTTGTGTTGACGTTGTATTTGAAACCCAAGACTATTTGGCTCGTAATAAAGGAATCGTTGACAGTCCAAAGTATTCCTGATACATCAGTGTATGTCCGTCGAGTTTGCAGAATTGAAACGGGTATTTAATATTTAAATATTGTGATGTGTCGATTCAGTTGGTTTCGTCATTACTTTAAATGATTGATGAATTTGGTGTGGGTTCTTCACGTGTTGTTGTTTGATCATTTCTTACAATTCACTCAACACATAATTGATATATAATCATTCCATCCCGAAACGCTGTCACACCACAGTAAGTCATGTTCCAGTGTTGTGTACGTTTATATGTTTGTGTTTTTTTACTTTATTTTCCGATTGTCTGGTGTATTTTTATGAATAAAAAGATTGTCCTCCACAACTGTGTTCCAGTAATCCATGAACAACCTGTCCTGATTATTAATTAGTTTCGGATGAAATGTCAACGGCCACATTATGTGAATTTGTTTGTTTGGTTTTATGGTGTTTGTCCGTCTCCGGCCCTTCGCCAGCAGTAGTCCTGCTATATTATCAGGGGTGGGCAAGACTGAACTAGGAGTTGAGATTGATAATACGATGTGCCGTTGAGATTGACATCCAATGATCGAAGGAAAAACAAGCGCCATTTAGCTAGAATTATATGTTTCTGTATTACATATTCAGGGACCAAGCATTGGTCTAATGAAAAGCGAAAGAGGTTGAACATTAAATGAGAAAGGCACTCTATATCAGGTAATGAACCATGTATTTCATTTGCTTCATCACAGCAAATAAATATAATACTCTCCGTTATATTTCTGTACGACAAAACTGACAAGATGTCACTGTGATGTAACCATTTTCGTTAGACATATATATCTAATTTACATGAATTCAGCAACATCCATATATCCATTTTTAGTGAAGAGAAATTACAGAATACGTTACTGTTCCTTTCAAAATGTATTCTACCACCAAATGCAGGTTATCCATAGCAACGATCAATGCCAATATTATGTTATAATTTATAATTTACATATATAATTTCACATAAATATGTCTCTGTCCCGCATACAGGTAGCACTTTATGTCACCATGTACACGAATACATGGTGACCGCTCTGGTGTATACTTCAGTGTTAAGTTTTAAAAACATGTTTTTCATTACAGAGAGCATAACACATGATAGCTCACAAAAGTAAACGTTACACGTTGACAGGACTCATTTCTTACACAAGACACCTCCCAGCAAAGAATTACCTCCCCTTAATCGTTAGCGTCTTCTGCTCAAAAACGGAAGCTATTTCACTTTCTTCTACATGGTTAACGTTCCTTTCACATTTAGAAGACAAGTTAATCGCGGTTGGTTATTTCAATGATTTAGTATAAGTTCTTAAACTTTTTTCTCAAAAAAAAGATTAGTTTCATGCTACAAATAACTTTTACTCTATTACAGCCCTAATATTACATTATCATATTCTATCATTAAAAAGACAGCTTGCGTTGGTTAGTTAGTCTTTAGACAGGTAAGAAATTAACTTGGAGTATATTGAACCATTTCGTTAAAACCGTGGTACCATGCCTGAGAGAAAGGAGTCTACCAATTATCAACTACGTGGCAAAGAAAAGTATACCATGGAAACGGTCATCTCTATGGCGACAACCATGTTACTTGAGACGTTACCTGTATGTCACCTGTTCAGATACTCACTGATATGATGAATGTATCTATATATGACACGTCTATATCCTAACAGATCACCGCCGTGATATTGCTTGAATATTGCTAAAAGCGGCGTAAAACCAAACTCACTCGCTCACCTTACAGATCACCATCGAAGCTTTCGTTTGCCTTGCAGCTTACAGAAAGTACTTTATCACAGATATGTATTTCTTAGCTCCTGTCCATCTGGCGTATCATTTCATTACATTACATTCATCTTATTAGTGCTGCATATGCTTATATAATATTATGTCTTTCTCAATTCAATAATTGGGAGGGGTATTGGGGCACAAGCAAACACACAAATCAGCCAGGATTTTTCATGTTGAAGGAAGCACATGTAAAATAACTAACTGTTTGCACATACGTTATGAATATGACCTTGTATTTTGTCAACATGACCAGAACTCTATGTATTCTCCCTTCGTATGTAACCGATAACCTGTCCCTATTCAATCACATCATAAAACACTGTACGCTACTGGTCAAAACTACTGTTTGTGTGACGCCCAGCCGATGGAGACAATGCCTACAGTTACTCTTTAAAATTTGAAAATATTGTTCTGGAATAGTTGAGTTCAGCTGAGTTTGAATGAGTGCGTGAGTTACCAATTAGAATCACAGCATTTAGCGTTAAATGCTAATAATATATGCATTTAGATAATGCTGTCAAATATATATTGATTACCACATGCTGTGTATAAAACTAGTGTGTTGCCATGAAACGACATCACTATGGTAACGTACATGATAAAGAACAGGCTATTGACCGCCAACAACTTAACGGGGATCATGGGAACTTAAGTAACTTGGGTACCTGCATGGGCCCAGGAGGATCTGGTGTTTGAAAAAAACCCATTACATATATAGCTATGCCCTAAAACAAAAGCAACGGAAAGAACGGACGTGAATGTAGTACACTAAAACCCTATTATTGCAAATAGTCAGGTTTCAGCCTGGATCGTCCAGATTAACAGATTCCACGATCGACGAATCACTTAAAGTGAGAATACTTCATTGTGTGAGTAGAGGTATAATGACAAGCCATGAGAGTACAAAGATATAGTGATATGTCCTTAATTTGATTTGTTTGATGTTTAACGTCGAACTCAGCAATATTCCAGGTATATGGTCTGTAAATAGTCGAGTCTGTACCAGACAATCCAGTGATTAACATCATGAGCATCGATGTACGCAAGATATGTTAATATGCTGACACTAAGATGTTTGTATGAACGTACGATGGAAAATTAATTGTCACTGTGACACTGTCGCATGCATTTGGGGGCGGTGGGGTAGCCTAGTGGTTAAGGCGTTCGCTCGTCACGCCGAAGACCCGGGTTCGGTTCCCCACATGGGTACAATGTGTAAAGCCCATTTCTGGTGTCCCCCCGCCGTGATATTGCTGGAATATTGCTAAAAGCGGCGTAAAACCAAACTCACTCACTCACTCACTCACTCATGCATTTGACACAAGCAGGCTATGTACTAGTCATTTCCACGTGTCTCGGCTACATCTAGATTTGAGTATTGGCATCGTGTGGGTTCACGAAATAGCACTGTGTTATTTTTCATAAAGGTTTGGTTTGGTTGTTGTTTATCGCTGCACTCAGCAATATTCCAGCTGTATAATTCCGGGTGTGCGCTAACAAAGGGAAACAACCCCTTGTCAAACTCTGGGCTATGGGAATTATTCATGGGTGGATTGCCTCCCTTTGTTGTGCACAACGTTGAATTTACATCACAACAGAACAATCGTATACTATGTTTAGATGCATGAAGGAGAGCATTTACGATAAGATGAAAATATCTTCTCTCACGCTCTTTTTCCTTTTTCTAACAGAACGACAACACCGCCATATGGTTGGAATATTGCTAAGTGCGACGTTAAACACGAAACAAACAGTTACAAATAGTGATATTTGTCGTCCTGGAATATTGCTAATATAGATTGTTCTGAGACCTGTATGTGTCGATTTCCCACGCTGTTGAGCTGTTACAGCTATGAGAGAGAGAGAGAGAGAGAGAGAGAGAGAGAGACAGACAGACAGACAGACAGACAGACAGACAGAACGATAGAGAGAGAGGATAGCAAAATAGACTGTTGCACAAATTCGTTGATGTAATATTGATGTAATCGTTATGATAATATTTGAAAAGCAAATTAAAGGATTGTGAGTGTGTTCCGTGTCGTACTATATTATATAGACCAGATGTTATTCCGAAGATATACATTATCATTCATTTACAGGGCGGTGGGTAGCCTAGTGGTTAAAGCGTTCGCTCGTCACGCCGAAGAACCGGGTTCGATTCCCCACATGGGCACAATGTGTGAAGCCCATTTGTGGTGTCCCCCGCCGTGACATTGCTCGAATATTACATTCACGCACTCACTCACTCACTCATTCATTTACAAACGAGCATGGACGATAAAGGAAACAATATACGTATGTACAAGTAGAGTGAGTTATAAGTAAAACATATCAATCATAACAAAGCAACAGATGTTGTCTGATGAAATACACAAACAGTGCAAGTGTGATTATAATGTCAGTCCAGGATTTACCGGAGTACTCTCTATATATTCAATCGTGTAAGTATCACCTCTAACATGTCGTGTTCGTCTAGCATTTCAAATTTGACATAGGTTTCAACATATGGCGGGGAGATGGTGTCAGACATGAAATCATCTCTTGGCCGGCGCACACAGCGTGTCCCATTACAAAATGCACCACGGCGGTATGGCAGACGGAAACTTGTACCTGTCGTTCTTGCATGAGTGTTGTGTTGCGTGACGTATCCGAGATAACCTTGCTTGTCCCGGTAAATGATACGATCAGTTGCCTGAACAAATGACAAGCATTACGAAGTTTTCTTCTTGTTTAACGAAGGAACGGACACTTGCGTACACACGAAGGTTTGCTTACTTGAATAAATTAGGTTTAAACCCGTAGTTTCTTACATAACTGTTACAGTGTCTGTTTTATATCACATTTCTATTCTTTCTCTCTTTTGCAGGTATGCATACTAATGTAACCTCGCTATTCATTCAGAAACACGTTTTTCAGACAATGCTGACAGATCTTCCTATTAACCAAACGAAAAAGCGTATTTGCCAGTGAATGGCAGCATGTTACGACGTAAATTGTAATAAAGCGTTAATTGTAATACTTGCAGAAAATTGTAACCCTCGACGTAAATTGTAATAGAAACGCAAATTGTAATACATATTTACGTAAATTGTAATAACTGTTTTAATCCGTCGTAAATACTCGTGTGTTTATTTTCGTTGCATTTCATACATCATATAAGCTTGCGACCGCGATAACTCAAGAAAGAAATGAGTATTAAGGCTGATTAAAACAGTTATTACAATTTACGTAAATATTTATTACATTTTACCGCAACTAAAATTATTAAACTTTACGTCAATTTTTATTACATTTTGCGTATTACAATTTACGTTTTTATTACAATTTACGTCAAGGGTTATTACAATTTGCTGCAAGCTGCAAGTATTACAATTTACGTTTTTATTACAATTTACGTCGTAACACAGCATAAAACGATCGTTGGGTGTTGGGCGTTGCGGACACAGAAGGCGGTTGATTGGCACCATCCAATAACTATCAACCTGTTTCAATATTCGAATATTGCAAAGTAATTCTCTACCAAAT